TAAAAGAATGTGTGAGTGAAAAAAACAATACTGGCTCCTTAGGATGGTGCATTTGATATCCTTGGACTACTTCACTGCCAGTACTGTATCATATGTATTAAATGGGTCTGTGACTTCAACTCTTATGCCAAAATTCACAAAACATGTGCACATCATATTTCACCCCACAATTGCTTTGATGTTTTACATTTGAGTTTGTTTGTAATTCTCATTATTTCTTAAAACAATGTTTATTGCTGTAATACAGCAATGAGAATCGTCCTGTCAGAGCCAATTAAAATCAGCTTAAAATGTGCATAAACACACAAACATTTTAATTTACTGCATCACAGTAATGAGAAGTCCTAGACCACATTCTACTTTTCTATATGGCTTTATCTCCAATTAAAAAAGGAAATTGATTTAACTAATCTTTAGGAAACAGAGTGAGAGACATTCTACAAAGCACTATTTTCAGTCTATATATATAAGAATACAGTAAAAACAGTAATATTGCAAATTATTACAATTGATTTATTCCTGTGGTAACAAAGCTGAATTTTCAAATTATTAAAATTGTGCTGCTTAATATTTTTGTGGAAACCATGTTCCATTTTTTTCAGGATTCTTCAATTAATAGAATTCAAAATAACAGCATTTATTTAAAATAGAAATGTATGTAACAATATAAATTTTGCTACTGACATTTTCAATTAATTAAATGCATTTAAATAATTAATTTATTATTAATAAAAAAATTTAAAAAAAACTTTGACACCAAACCTTTGATTGGCTGTATAAATACTAAATGCTACAATAAGGACTAAAGGCTACAAAGGTAAAATGTAGATTTCATGGGGTCTTATGGTCCTAAATCATGCTTCATTTTACTTCCTCTAAATATAATACTTCTTAAGCACATTTATTCCATTTAGAGGTCCTACCTTTAGTGGCCCACTCCACACATCGGACCCAATCCTCATGTCCTGTCAGAGTCAGAAGCCTCTGAAACTAAACACACCCACAGGTAACATTCACACACCCACATGACACACAAAATGTGAACAGCATTAATATAAAGCAAAGACACCTGACAATCTTACCTGTCCATTGAGCTGCACATACAGGTGAACTCTGCTGTCATCTCCCCCACAGGCGAGTACTGGAACTGCAAGAGATGTAATTATCCTCTTCATTCACACGGACACACCAGGCAGACAAGTCACTAAGTCTATTCACGGCATCTAGAAGCGAAATACAGCTACAGTCCAGACGTGAATAATGCAAGAGGCAGGCTAACGTCGCCCCAGGACATATTTAAAGCACAGAATGAGATTTTAACATGATAGGGCTGGACAATACAGCAAATCAACATGGAGCAGCGGGCGCAGCTTACCTCTGCTGCCTGGCAACAGCGCCAAGGAGACATCCATCATGAACCCGCTCCCAAAAGATACGGTCTGGAGGCATTCAGCTAATGAAGAGAACAGAAACACAACAGAAAATGAACCCGTCCAACTCATGATGAATTCTAATTTTTTTTTTAAATAACTTATTTTAAATTAGGCTATTATTAAAGGGGTCGTATGGTGCTATTTTAAAGATCATTATTTTGTGTTTTTGGTGTAACAGAATATGCTGACATGCTTTAATGTTCAAAAAACACATTATTTTTCAAATACTGTACATTATTGTAGGTCCTCTATGCCCCGCCTCTCTCAAACACGTCGTTTTCAACAAAGCCCCCTCCTTTGACAAGCCCAGTCTGCTCTGATTGGCCAGCTGACCCAGTGCATTGTGATTGGCCGAACACCACAAGCACACGTCGGAAATGAAACGCCCCTTACCATAATCGC